ATATCTCCCCAGCCACCACACTCAGCTTTACAAAAAAAAGTGTGTGTGTGTGTGTGAGTGTGTGTGTATCATCTGTGTGGGTGCCCTTGGAAGCCAAAAAGAGAATGTTGCATTCCCCCCTGGAGCTGGAATTACAGGCCACTATAAAGGACCTGACATGGATGCGGTAGAGAATTGAACTCTGGTCCTCTACAAGAGCAGCAAGGGCTCTTAACCACTGTGAAAGTGTTTGAACCACTAACCCAACTTTTTATATGGGTGCTGAGGATCCAAATTCCGGTCCCCATGCTTGGGCAGCAAGCACTCTTATTTATTTATTTATTTAGGTTTTTCAAGACAGGATTTCTCTGGGTAACAGTCCTAGTGGTCCTGGAACTCGCTCTGTAGGCCAGACTGGCCTTGAACTCACAGAGATCCACCTGCCTCTGCCTCCCGAGTGCTGGGATTAAAGGCGTGCGCCACCACTGCCCAACTAGCAACAAGCACTCTTGTGCCCTAAGCAATCCCTCCAACTGATTGCCTGATTTTCTGTTGGAGTTGACATCCTGTAGTCTTGACTTACAGCTCTTCTTTTTTCCTTTGAGATACTTTCTGGCTGGCTTTAAACATTGCAAACCCTTTCCCCTGCAGCCGGTTAACGTTGGTCCCGTGGTGCCTCGTGGAAAGAAATCTCCTATGATGCTATCAAGCTTTTCCTCTTGTGGGTTTCTGCCCTTTGACTCAGAAGGCTCCTCCTTTGTGGTCATCAGTGTTCTTGGGGTGGTCATCCAGAGGGCCGTGAAGGCTGAGTGTTTACCCCAAGACCCTTCCCCACCTCTCGCTTGGGGGCTTTTCTGCATCCTCAGGGCCTGGAGACACTCTCACACCAGAGGCTATGCAGGTGCTAGAGGAAATGAAGGGAAGGGGAGGGCTCTGTACCAATGAAGGACTGCACTACTTGAGACATAGTGGGAGACATCGCAGGAGACATAGGAAGGCAAAGAGCCGGGAAGATAGGGAGTACCAAACCAAGGCAGTTCATTTGATGGGAAAACTAAAGTAAGCCTTCTGGGCTATGTACAAAGACGCCCGCTGAGGACACTTTCAATGAAAACGAAAAGATCAAACGTACTCTCCCGAAAATGCCGCTTCAGTGAACCCACTTGAAGTACCAGGTCTGGGAGAATCATTCTCCTGTGACCCATTTATTCTACTCCTGAAAACTGCCCTACAGAACTGAAGGTTTTGTATTCACCAGGAGTGGAATGCTTGAGGAGTTCCCAGCAGGGTTCAGCAGGAGAGTACCCACTGGAACATGAGGGCTATAGGCTCCATCGAGGCATGGTAAGAACAAATGCGTTTTGGGGAGTAGTGACACACACCTGGAATCCAGCACTTGGAAGGTTGTCAGGCATTCGAGGTCATCCTTCTCTGTTACATTGCAAGTTCAAGGACAGCCTAAGCTACAGGAGTTTCTCCAAGAACAAAACAGCCCTCTCCTGTCAAAACAAATCAGTGTTCCGCCTGCATGTATATACGACTATTCTGTGCGTGCTCAGTCCCTCAGAGACCAGTAGAGAGCGCTGGGTTCCTAGAACTAGAACTAGAGTTAATACGGCCAGTGTGGGTCCATCATGTGGGTGCTGGGAACTGAACTTAGGTGCTCAGGAGGACCATTGAGCCATCCTTCTAGCCCTGAAAGGTAATGTTTATTGGGTTTTTTTGTTTGTTTTTGAGACAGGATTTCTCTGTAGCTTTGCAGCCTGTCCTGGAACTAGCTCTTGTAGACCAGGCTGGCCTCAAACTCACAGAGATCCGCCTGTTGAAATAGGAGCGGCGGGGCTGCGTCCCCAACACCCCGGCCGCTTGGCTAGCTTATGCTCGAAATAACAACACATAAACTGTATTCATTTAAGAACTGCTTGGCCCATGAACTCTAGCTTCTTATTGGCTAGCTCTTACATATTGTTTTAACCCATTTCTAATAATGTGTGTAAGCACCCCAAGGTGCGCTTACTGGGAAGATTCTAACCTATGTCCATGTTGGGTCAGAGCTTCATCGCGTGTGCCTCAGAGAGCAGACTATCGGGAGAGCGGAGCATGGCGTCTCTGCTCCAGAGAGCAGAGCTGTCGGGTCTCTCCGGAAGCAGAGCAGAGTCTGACCTCACTTCCTCTTCGGCCCAGAATTCTATTCTGTTTACTCCTCCCATCTATGTTCTAAGCTATGAGGCCAAGCAGTTGGTTTATTATAATTAACCAATGACCTTCCTCCATCATCCCCCTGCCTCTGCCTTCCAAGTGCTGGGATTAAAGGCATGCGAGACCACCGCCCGGCTAAATGTACTGTTTTTAACAGAATCAAGAAAGCAACTTAGACCAGCTTGGTCTACAAGAGCTAGTTCCAGGACAGGCTCCAAAAACCACAGAGAAACCCTGTCTCGAAAACCCCCCCCAAAAAAAAAGAAAGAAAGAAAGCAACTTAGCCGGGCAGTAGTGGCGCATGCCTTTAATCCCAGCACTCAGAAGGCAGAGGCAGGCAGATCTCTGGGAGTTCGAGGCCAGCCTGGTCTACAAGAGCTAGTTCCGGGACGGGCACCAAAGCTACAGAGAAACCCTGTCTCGAAAAAAAAAAAAAAGAAAGCAACTCAGCTGTCCAATGTAACAAAATTGATTAACAAATCATACGCTAGCACACAATGAAAGATAATACAGCAAGAAAAAGGGAGGAAGCATAGCCAAGTAAAATCACATGGGAAGAGGAACAAAAGAGACTCGACACAATCCATGAGTCCACGTACACAGAGTACTTCTTAAGATGTGTTTTTATTTTAGTTATGTGCAGGTGTCTGTGTCTGTATGTGTTTGCGAACCAAGTAGCTTTAGAGGCCAGGGTGTTATATCACCTGGAGCTGGAGTTACATGTGGTTGTGAGCTGTCTGATGTGGAGCTGGGAACTGGACTCCAGTTCTTGCCAGAGCAGTGAGTGCTCTTAACTGCTGAGCCATCTCTCCAGCCCCTTCACAGAGTTTTAAAGCAGACAAAACTACTCTGTTATATATCCGGCTGCGGATAAATCGTGGGAGGCAGTGATGGAAGAACGAGGGCACTTAGATAAGAATGTTCCGGAGTCACTTGACGTTTTTGGTTTTGAATGGGTGGGGGTGGTTTAGGCCCAGTCGAGAGCTATGTAGACCAGGTTAGTCTTGAATTCATAGTGGTCAGTCTGCCTTAGCTCCTCCTACCCCATCAAAGGGGCTAGGATTAAAAGTGTAAGAGCTCTCTCTCTCTCTCGCTCTCTTTCTTTTAGAGTGGCTTCAAACTCAACAAGAAGCAGAAGATGACCCTGAACCTCGGATCCTCCAATATTACCTGTCAAGTGCCAGGGATTGCCGTGTGCAACACTAGTCCCTGCTAAAGTCCTGTTCTTGAATTGAGTCATCGCTGGGGTTTCCTCAGTTACTGACAACTCATCAACCTAAGGAGCAATGTGTGCTCTTTATTGGACTTCAATTAAAAATATGTCAAGCACGACACATTAATATAAAAGAACAAAGCATACATACTCAAAAGGAAAGTCTGCTTCCACGAGCACAAAACTTTGTGTGTGTGTGTGTATATATATCACAGTTGAGACAAAACTGAATCATGTATCATGTATGGGACTATTCACAGTAACCTGAGAGGGGCAGTACAAAGGGAGAAGATTTTAAAACAGATCTCTGAGTTTGTGACCAGCCTGGTCTACAGAGTGAGTTCCAGGACAGCCAGGACTACACAGAGAAACTCTGTCTTGAAAAACAAGACAACATCAACAAAACTCCGGTCATTTTGTCTGTTTTAAAACTGTCTGAAGGGGCTGGAGAGACGACTCAGGGTTCACCTCTATCAGGAACATTTTTATAAAAAGATAACCCGGGGAATAGAGGACACAACTCAGTTGGTAGAATGCTCGCCCAGAACACACAAAGCCCCAGGTTGAGACCCAGCACTGTGTAAACGGGGTACGGTGAGTCACAGCTACCATCTCAGCATTTGGGAGATGGAGGGGGAAGTTATCCTCAGCTCCAAAGAGAATCTGGGATCAGTCTGATCTACATGAAAAATTTCTTGAAACACCACACCACAGACACACACACACACACACACACACACACACACGCACACACACACAGGAAGGGGGCTACCACAACAAAAAACCAGTACAGCACACTGAGTCAATATCTAAATGAAAGCCACGGGACTGCCCTGCTCTTGCAGCAGACCTCAGCCCATGCCGTGTGGCTCACAACTGCCTGAAACTCCAGCTCCAGGGGAATCTGACGCTTCTAGCCTCCTCTGAGGGCACAGGCACTTGTGAGCACATAGCCACATACAGACAACACATACATAGGATTCAAAGTAAAAATAAAATACAACAAAAGGTGAGTATACCTTTAGAAATAAAAATAGATAAATAAAGAAAACCCCAAACTCTTAGAGAAGTTGACAGTACACGGGGGGGGGGGGGGGCAGCCTGAAGGATTTTACCAAGAACAGAATAAAGTGAAAATGTTTTCCCAGGATAAATGGTGTCCTCCAAACCAGACATGGCCAAACTAGCCTATTGTCCTAGCATGTGGGAGGCTGAAGCAGGAGACTTTCTGTGAGTACTAAGATCAGCCTGAGGTACTTGAGAGTCTGGCTTTAAAGAACAAAATACAATAAAAGCTCAGACCTTTCCTCTGAGCTTGTGTTTTTACATAAATACCAGCTACACTTTTTAAAGCTGTTTTGCGTGTGTGCGTGTGCGTGTGCGTGTGTGTGTGTGTGTGTGTGTGTGTGTGTGTATGACAGAGGTGGGGGAGAAAGGAAGATGGGGAGGGAGATAGCTAGAGAGACAGCTGAGAGGGGGTAGGCAGCACCGGAAACCTCAGCAGGCAGGGATCCCCTTGGGGGGAGGGGAGCCTTTGGTCTCTCCCCAGCCTCTTCCTTCCCCCTGGCCTGTGGGGGGAGTGGGGAGGGGCAGTTCCTCTTTCCTTCCTAAACACCGGGGACGCTGCAGCAGCTCCCAGGGGGCTGACAATCTGGCCAGAGAAGGAACAGAATCATATGCCTATCAGGACCCCTGTCCCCTCTAGGAACCATGAACCGGAAAGACAGCAAAAGGTAAGAGGACTCCCCAAGGGAGATCTGAGAGAGCCAAAGGACTCTCCCCAGGGAGATCTGGGAGAGCCAGAGTCTGATAACTCTGGCTGTGGCCAGTGGGGGGATAATAGGACAAGGGGTGCCCCCAGTCCTCCAATGGGACTCTCGTGGGTCAGATGGATGAGATGCTTCAGGGAGCTGTGCACCTGAGCCTCCATTACTGCTGTTGTCTCTCCCTGGACTTTGAGCTGTCCTGTATCCTTCGATCCCAGCTCCCTCGGATGGCTGCCTCTGTCTTCCCTGGGGTCTTCCCTGTCCCTTATTATGGTCACTACCCCCCTGGACTGGAAACTCCAGGCTCCTGCAGGACTGTGCCCCAGGAGAGAGGTTTATGATGTAGGTCTCTGCAGCTTCCCTGCCTCTTAAACCACTGCTGGCTGCTCCAGGCACTTCTGGGGGCTGCCGTGCAGCAGGTAAGGGTCAGGTGGCTGACTGTGCCAGCAGGATCAGAAATGGGCTTCTTTCTCCTGGCATTGTTGCCCTCCTGTCCCCATAAGGAAAGATGGTGCAGGGTCCCCAGCCTGGATAGCTCTCCCACTCTCCCTAGCGTGGTCCTGATGAGCAAAAGGGGTTCCCTACCACTCAGCAATATGGTGAGAGAATCTTGGGTGCCTTGGTTCCTGGCTGTGTGACCTTAGGTAAGTTACTCAACTACTCTGTCTCAGTTTCTGCTTCTGTCAGAATTATCATGGGTACCACTTTGGAGGGGCTTGCAGAACTTACTCTGCTTTGACCAACAGTTCTCAAAGGTGAACATGTATGGCAGCCACACAGCGCCAGCCTCTGGGACCACCCCTAAAGTTTTAGATTCTGTTGAGTCTGTGCTAGCGCCTGAGAAACTGGGCTTATATGAAATGCCCAGGAAGTTGATGCTTTTGGTACTTGGTGTGAGTACCTGAAAAACATGAAGTGCAGCCCTAGGGCTGCTTCTGAGTCAGTGCTCAAATGTCCATTATCATTTAACAGCTATATTAAGCCCTTAAGAGGTTGCAGGAGACACGGTAGATTTATTTTGGGGTGTCCTTGTTTGTGTTTTCACACCCATGCCATGCTGGAAGCCTGGCTGCTTCCTCCTGTCTTTTTTTTCTTATTATGTCTTGTTCTGTAGTCCAGGCTGAATTCGAACTTGCAATCCCCCTGCCTCATTCTCCTAGGCAGCTATAATTACACGGTAGCACCATCAACGCGGCTTTCTCTCCATGTCTCACTATCTGCTTCCCCACCAGCTGGGCCCCTTTGAGGAGCCAGGCTTAGGAACGCCGGGGAAAATCCAAGGATGACTTTACTTTTTCATTTGAAGAAAGCAAGGGCTAGAAAGACATTGGGTAATGAGGCACACGGCCAGAGGAAACTTCTCGAGCCCAGGTCTGAATGACTCTGACGACTCGAATGCAACCCCTCCCTCCATTCCTCCACTCCTTCTGCATCGTCCCTTTTTCCTCACCTGGGACAGACTCCTAGGGAGGCAGATGACAAGGTTATTTTTAAACTTTCCTTGAAGCGGCTGTGGCCCCAGGGACCCCGCCTACCTCCGAGGAGCCCAGGAGAAGCTCTGTACTTCCTCTTTGGGCTCCAAATGTGGAGAAAGGCTAGAGGCTAAGACTCTGTGTGAAGGGGAGCTCAGGAAGGACCTGCTGCCTTGCAGAGGCAGGCTACATTTCTAGAGGCCTGACTGCAGGAGTCCATCGCTGGGCCCCAGGATCAGGACTCCTAACTCCAGAGGTCGTTCTGGCTCTGGCAGGAGCCTGAAGGCCAACTTTGGACACCTAAGATGCCCTGGAGTTGGTCTGCGGGTCATTTCCTGGGTTCCCTGAAAACTCAGGATGAATCCTGGGGGCTTGCTTACAATTGATTTCACCTGTGCTGCTGTGGGGTTATATATTATCAAGAAGAACTTGAAGAGAGGTGGGAATAAAAGAAAGTAACAGGGGAGAGACAAAATACTACGTGTGTTTTCCTTTATATGCGAAACCTGTATTTAAGTATGCGTATACACACATACGTATATATGACAAGAAAACAGAGGACAATATTTGGGAAAGAGAAGGAGCCAATGATATGAGGGAGGGCGGATGGGTGGCAGATAGGAACAAGGTATGGGTATGATGATAAAGATTATGTGTGATAAATGTCTTAATGAAACTCACTATTTTGTATACTAACTTTAAAAACAATAATGAAGTCAATGCCTGGAGGGGGGAATTAAGCTTTTGGAAGGCCCTCAGTCCTGGGTCTTTGACCATGATTGCCTGGGGAATCTGAAATATTTTGGAGTTTGTTGCCCATGAGTCCCTAGTGGGTAGCCCTGGGCCTTGGTCTGCAAGAACTTTGGTCCATGGTGCTTGGAAGCTCTGGGATCAAGAGGAATTCTGGGAGTATACTTGGAGGAAAGGACTCCCATGATGCTTTGCGGTGGGGTGTTTTGTGTGTGCCTACAGGAAGTCTCATCAGGAATGCTCTGGGAAGGCAGGTGGGCGGGGTCGGCCACGACAGGCCCGCCGCCACAAGACGTGCCCCACCCCCCGGGAAATCATCAAGGTTATGGCTTCCATGAATCTGGGGGTGCTGAGCGAAGGCAGCTGCAGCGAAGATGAGCTACTGGAGAAATGTATCCAATGCTTCGGTGAGTAGGCCTACCCAGGCCAGCCTTCCCAGCGCACACAGCCCGCTAAGCGGTCCTCTGTCAGCCTCACTGGTAGGGGCAGAAAGCGGGTAAGTAGGGTGACTCTGCCTTATGTAAATGACATAAATGATGGGAGGGAACTTAGGTCTAGTCGCATAGTTTTGAAGGCTGAGGCAGGAGGATAAAGTTCGAGACCTAGCGGGGTGATATGGTGCATGCCTTTAATCCCAGCGCTTGGGAGGCAGAGGCAGGCTGATCTCTGTGATTTGAAGCCAGCCTGATCTAAATAGCAAGCTCCAAGCCAGCCAGCACTACTTAGTGATATCCTGTCTCAAAAAAAAATGAGTTAAGGGGCTGAAGTGATAGCTTAGTGATTAAAATCATGTACCCCTCTTGCAGATGGCCTGAGTTTGGTTCCCCCTATCTTCATCAGAGGGCTTACATCACTCATAACTCTAGCTCCAGGGAGCCTGATAGCCCTGGCATGAGAGGGCTCCCAGCACCCATGTGAACAAACCCACACTTCACACACACACACACACACACACTTCACACACATACACACTTCACACACACACACACTTCGCACACACTTCACACGCATACACACTTTGCACACACTTCACACACACACCACACATACACACACACACAATTTAAGGCAATAAAAATAAATCTTAAAAATTCAAGGAAGCCAGGTAGCATTCAGGAGGTAGAGGCAGGTGGATCTCTGAAAGTTTGAGGCCAGCCTGGTCTACAAAAGCAAGTTCCAGGACACCTAGGGGTGTTACATAGAGAAATCCTATCTCAAAAAGAAAAAAAAAAGTTCAAGGAAAACAGCTTGAGATGATTGAAGGCCAGGAACCAAACTCATCCCGTCCTGTGCACCTGACGGATGAGGACACTCAGGAAATCATATTGCTTGCTCAGGTTCCTGCAGGGCAGCACAGGTAGGACCAGCCCCTGCGGCAGCCTGTCCACCCAGGCTGGAAGCTATCCGTCTGTTGCCCAGGGCCCAGGCTAACGAACTCTCCTCCCTCCTCCAGACTCTACTGGCAGCCTGCGCCGCGGGGACCACATTCTCAAGATGGTGCTTACGATGCACAGCTGGGTGCTGCCATCCTCAGACTTCGCAACTCGGCTACTGACCTCATATCCTCCCAGAACGGTGATCTCCATCTAGAGGGTTAAGGGCAGACTCCTAAACTCCTAGGAGAAGGGAGTGGGGAGTGGGAAAATGGGGGTGCTGCAAAACAGCCTTGACTAGAACTCAGGTACCGGAAGGCTGCCAAAGATGCTCAGGAGCTAAGACAGCTACAGATTTGTTACCTGGTCAGGTAGGGCTGGGCCAAGACCATTCCCTTCCCATAAAACACCTCTCCAAGATCCCCCAACCCAATCCACCCCCCACATACACTCAGCCCCATTTTCTAAAATCCCACGCTAAGAGTCCATGTGATAACTCATGCCTGTAATCCTGGCATGAGATAGCCTGAGGTAAAGGTTCTCCTCAAGTTCAAGGATAGCCTGGGCTATAGAGTAAGGTCCCATCTCAAAAACAAAAAAGTTACAAAAAACTCCCTTGCTAAGGCACCATTGACTGTGGCTGGATGGCCCAGCATGAGGAAGGGCACTAGCTGCTCTTTCAAAGACCTGGATTCAGTTCCCAGCACCCACATGGTGGCTGACTGTCTTCTGACCTCCATGGCACCAGGCACAAACATGGTACACATACATCCTTTGTAGGCAAAACACTCGTACATACAAAATGAAAATAAATATTTTAAGAAAGTTTAAAAGCCACCCCTAACCTAGTTCCTGAGACCACTGCCCCCTGCTCCTTAGAACACCAGTTCTTGGAGACCCGACCCAGATCCCATAGACTCTCCTTGGTGACGCATCACTTCCCACATACTCCTAAGACTTCATCACCTTGACTCCCCAAATCTCACCCCTACCCAGTTCCTGGCTCCCCTATTGCCTGGCTACCCAGTTGTCTCAAGAGATCCCTGTCCTATTTTAAGAACCCACCCCCAAGACCTCTGAATCACCCCTCTGATTCTGACTCCAGAAATCATAGACATGGAAATGCCCTTAGCTTCCCCACATGTAGAATTCCTTAGCCTCAGGCCCCTTACGGAGCCCATCTTCACCCACCTCCCATCTCTGGCCCCTTCCAGGTACTGGCTGACCCATGACCCTGAGGCGGTGCGCCAGGAGCCCCATCTAGAAGAAGTCATAGATCGGTTTTGGGTCACAGTAGCTCAGGAAGGCAACTTGACCCAAAGAAGTCTAGGAGATGCCTCCAACCTGTGAGCCAGCCCTCCCCTTCTTCCCTGCCCTCACCCTATCCTGCCCACACCCTCTATGCCCCCCCAAACCTTCAATTCTTGAGCCACTCCAATAACCTGTCCTTCTTGACCTCCAGACTAAGTCCCAGAGGGCCCGGCCCCCCACCTCCCATGAGCAGCCCAGGCCTGGGCAAGAAGCGCAAAGTGTCCTTGCTGTTTGATCACTTGGAGACAGAGGAGCTGGCTCAACACCTCACTTACCTCGAGTTCAGGGCCTTCCAGGCCATCACAGTGAGAATGTCTTTCCCAGTGTGCCCCTAGGCAGCAAACAGAATAGGGGTGGGGGGTGGGGAGGTGTGCTGTTGGAGGAACCATCCGTATGGGGTTGTAGGTCTTACTATTATTGCTATTCCTGTGACTGTGTTAACAGTGCTGGTGACTGAACCCAGGGTCTCACCTACTTTAGGCAAGCTCTCTAACACCGAGCTACATCCCCAGCCCAGACTATAAACTCTTATTTTGAAACAAGATCTCACCTTATAACTTGGACTGGCTTGGAACGCATTTTGTAGACCAGGCTGCCTTGAACTCACAGAGATCCACCTACCTCTTCCTCCTGAGTGCTGGGGCTAAAGGTGTGCTCCCACACTCCAGGCCGACACTCTTAAGCAGTCTACCGTGGCAGCTGGAGGGTCTGAGACAATGGGTTGAGCTGGCTGGGTGCTAAGGCCTTGAGTTCAAATCCCATCCCCTCTCCCTTCCTTCTAGACATTTTTATTTACATGTTTATTACTTGTGTGTGAGAGAGACATGGGCTTCTCTTTCTGCCGCCATGCGCGTCCCAGGAACGCAGCTCAGGCCCTCTTATCCACGGTGTCACTTTAGCGGTCATTTCTCTTTTCCACTCATTCTTACTCCCCGTCTGCCCCGTTGTTTGAATGGGAGTCTCATGGCCTCCCACTATGGAACCAAGGATGACTTTTGATCTCTGGTCCACTCCTCCACCTCTCGGGTGCTAGCATCCCAGATGTGTGCCAGCACAGCGGTTTCTGCAGGGACGCAGATCAGGCCCAGGGCTTTGTGCAGGCACACTAGGCAAGCTTTCGACCAAGGGCCCATGTCCCCAGCCCGCCTCGGCTCCTGTTGACCTCGCTAGCTTTGAACTAGTTTCTCCATCTCTCGGGTACCCATTCATACAAGGCAGAGACCACACCGCTTCACGGAGAGGAGGAGTCAAATTCTCATGTAGAAGTGCTGGTTGTCGTGTGGTGTGGTGGAGCAGGCCTAAATTGCGTGGCCGACGCAGGAGGATGTGAAACTCAGGGCCAGCTTGGCCTCCATGGGACCCTGTCATTGCTTCCTGCAATAGAATCACATAGCTGAGTGCTCAAAGGATTTTCTCAGTTATTCATGTATTTCCTAAGCATTTCAACTTAACATACCTCGGTTCCCCTGTACATAAAGGTAAAAATTAAAATGGAGTTGGGTGGTTGTGGTCTACACCTTTAATCTCAGCATTTAAATGGGAGGCAGAGGCAGGCAGATCTCTGTGAGTTCGAGGCCAGCCTGGTCTACAGAGCAAGTTCCAGGACAGTCAGGGCAACATAGAGACCCCCCCAAAAAAAAAAATCAGGCGGGATGTTAAGAGTTCCTATACCAGAGACCAGTGCATGGTTAGAGTAAATGCTACCTTTGAAATTTTTGTGTTTCCCTTCCCTAAAGGCAACTGTGTGTGCTTATGGGTTGAAATGTAGCAGCTGCTAACATCTAGATGTTGTTTTGAAGGAAAATGGGGATCTGATTCCTTTAGGGGACAGATTTCTGAATTTTGTGAGTGTGTGTGTGTGTGTGCACGCGCACACGTGCGCGCGTGCACATGTGCATGTATGCGTGTGCCTGTGTGGTGTGGTGGACACGAGTGTGGCGTGCACGTATTGTTGAGCAGATCAAGTAGAAGCCACTTTCACGTCCTCTTGCCCATGCCTCCCTGTGCTGAGCACGCCCCGGTCAGACACAGACAGAGCAGGACAAGGTGGTGTCCGGGACCAACAGTAGCCCGCTGGGAGACATAGACTACGTTAGGACGGTAGAGGCTGGGACTGCCAGAAAGGTGGCATGTGAGCTCTAGCACCCGCCCTGACCCATCTTGTCCTCAGCCCCAAGACCTGCGGGGCTATGTTTTGCAGGGCTCAGTGAGGGGTTGTCCCGCTCTGGAAGGTTCTGTGGGTCTGAGCAACAGTGTGTCCCGCTGGGTACAGGTCATGGTATTGAGCCGTCCCGGGGCTGCACAACGGGCCCAGGTACTGGACAAATTCATTCATGTGGCACAGGTAAGCCCATCTGAACGCCCAGTCTTTCCGCCTTTTTTTTTTTTTTTTTTTGAGATAGGGTCTTTCTGTTTAGCCCTGGATGTCCTAGAACTTGCTATGTAGACCAGGATGGTCTCGAATTTAAGGAGATCTCCTTACCAAATACTGAGATTAAAGTATGTGCCACCACAGCTGGCATCCGGGACTGTATACTAACTAGATTTGGGACAGCTACGTGGCTTCCATATTGTGACTGACTAAGGCTTTTTTTTTCCTTCTTCTTCTTCTTCTTCTTCTTCTTCTTCTTCTTCTTCTTCTTCTTCTTCTTCTTCTTCTTCTTCTTCTTCTTCTTCAATATTTATTTATTTATTTTTACTTTTTGATACAGAGTTTCTCTGTGTAGCCCTGGCTGTCCTGGAACTAGCTCTGTAGACCAGGCTGGCCACAGATCAATATTTATTTTTTAATTATTTTAAATTGTGTGCACACACGCCCCTTTAGAGGCCAGTGACACTGGAGTTACAGGAGGTGGTTGTGAGCTGCCCAGTATGGGTGCTGGGAACAGAGCTCAGGTCCTCTTGCAAGAGCAGTGTATGCTCATAGGCACAGAGCCATCTCTCCAGCCCATGACTCCAGCCCATCCTCTGCTGACATGATTCATCTCCCTCACCCACCATACCTACCACACAGTACCCTGGCATCATCCGAGTCCATACTCGGGTTGTGACCTTGATATCACAGAGTCAAACCATACTTGGCCCCACCGTTGGCTCTACAGTTAGAAATTTGCACTATTTCCCAGGCCCAAAGTCAAATTCCACATATCATATCTCCCCCCACCCCTTCTGTGTCTTCAACTTTGTATCTCCAGTCCTTAGCCCCCCAGGGTGTCTTCAGACAGTGACTGTATCACTTTTAGTGTATACAAAGATACAAAGAGACATAGTCCAGTCTCTCTGGCCCCAATGGGTGTTGAGTCAGCCTCTCCTCCCTTCTGGGAAAAGGGAAGCCCTGTGATCTGACCTCTTTGAATATCTCCAAAGCAGACCACGCCCTTCCTGAGGAACCTTCCAACACTTTGCTTCCTCTTGCTTGGCTATTTCTGTTAGTACTGGGGGATTGAACCCAGGGCCTCCTGCACCCTTAAATAAGTCCTTTACCATTGAGCCACATCCCCAGTCCCTCACTGGGCGATTCTATATGCAGGGGCTCTATCACTGAGCCACACCCTAGCCCCTCACTGGGGGGGGGGGTCTAGGCAAGGGCTCTACACCACTGACTGAGCTATGTCCCTAGCTCCTCTCTGGGGAATTCTAGGCAGGGCTTTACTACTGGGCCACACCCCCAGCTCCCTAGTGGAGGATTCTAGGCAAGGGCTTTACCACTGAGCTATATCTTGCTGGACTCTTTAGACCTGGAAGCAGGTCTGGCATCAGCCTGAGCTTCTTGGCCTGAGCATCTTCTATTTGGTCCTGCCTCACCTGCCTCCAAAGTGACCTTCAAGCTTTGAGTAGGGAAGGAGAAAGAATTCTCCTGATACCCTGTGAACCTCACACGCATCCCACATCTGTTTTACTCTTCCATGTCACAGTTAATTTATTCCATTCTACCAGTCATGCCTTCACCTGTGTGACTCGCTTGTGTGTTGTTTGACCCCGCCCCCAGAAGCCCGACGCCTGATATACTTCTGAATTCTCTACAGCTGGTCAACACACACCTGTCTGTTCTCCGAATCTGTCTAACCCTAAATACATGCCTGGCACCTTGCCAGCCCGACCCACTCGTCTGCTCACACCTGGTGCACACTCACATATGACTGACACCCCCCCCCCGTCCGTGCCCCGCCCTACGGCTGTTCTGTGGTACCTGCCACCTCTGTCATTACCTCCTTTCTAGAGGCTTCACCAGCTACAGAATTTCAACACACTGATGGCAGTCACGGGTGGCCTGTGTCATAGTTCCATCTCCAGGCTGAAGGACTCCCACACCCACCTGAGCCCCGATAGCACTAAGGTAACCCCCTCGACTCCCCAAAGTCCAAACGGTCATCTGCCTGAACCTTCACATACTGCTCTATACTGCTCTGTAACTGCTGTCAGCCCTCCCAGGGCTCTGGAGCCATCGTCGGACCTTTTATACTCCAAATTCCATAGACCTCCCCCGCCCCCGCCCCAGCTATCCCTATTCTTTCTTCCTGGGCCACCTATGTACGGAGCAATGAACTGGCCCCTCACTGGTGGAGGACCAGCCCCTGTCGGTCTTGCTTCTCCACCTGTAGGACGGTAGAGCAGCCAACTCGCAAGACTACTGTTTGTAGCCGGGCAGTGGTGGCACTTGCCTTTAATCCCAGCACTTGGGAGGCAGAGGCAGGTGGATTTCTGTGAGTTTGAGGCCAGCCTGATCTGCAACAGGTTCCAAAACTACAGAGAAACTCTGTCTTGAAAAACAAAAAAAACAAAAAAACAAAAAAAAAAACCTGCCGGCATGGCTAAAGACTGGTGATTTAATAGCCCTGGCCATTTCACGTCCATAAAGTAGGAATCGGAGCTCTGCACCAGGCTTGCTTTCTTGTGTTTCCTCTTCTTTTCTGGAGAGGATTAAGGGAACCCCCTGTGAGGGGCATGCTCAACAGAGATATTCTTATTCTAGAAAGCCCTTTCTACACAGGCCCTGCTGGAGCTGACAGAACTCCTCGCCTCCCAAAACAACTATGCCTGCTACCGCCGCACCTGGGCCAGCTGTACTGGCTTCCGGCTGCCCATACTGGGTGTACACCTTAAGGACCTGGTGTCCCTGTATGAGGCCCATCCAGACAGGTTGCCGGATGGTCACCTGTACCTCCCCAAGCTGAACAGCCTCTACCTACGGCTGCAGGAGCTGGCGACACTCCAGGGACAGCATCCCCCCTGCAGTGCCAATGAGGACCTGCTGCACCTGCTGACGGTGAACTGGGGGTCCTGTGTCACCTGAGCTCCCTGGAGACCACAGGGGACCAGTAATTAGAGTCCTGGGCTACTAGGGGCCTGGAGAACTGGATAGATAGTTAGGGAATGAGAGACTTTGGTCTGGTTTGGATTTTGCTGTACTGGAAATGAAATTAGGACCTCACTTATATGTGAGCACTTGGCTATGGAGCCAGAGCCCCTCACTGGGGATTCTAGGCAGGGGCTCTACCACTGAGCCACATCCCAGCCCCTCACTGGGGGATCCTAGGCAGGGGCTCTACCACTGAGCCACACCCCAGCCCCTCACTGGGGAATTCTAGGCAGGGGCTCTACCACTGAGCCACACCCCAGCCCCTCACTAGGGAATTCTAGGCAGGGGCTCTACCACTGAGCCACACTCCCAGCCCCTCACTGGGGAATTCTAGGCAGGGGCTCTACCACTGAGCCACACCCCCTGCATGATGAGTTCTAGGCAAGTTTTCCACCACTAAACTACATCCCTCTAGTATTTATTTTAAGTGTCGCTCAGGCCAGGGAACTCAGTGTGTGAACCAGGCAGCTGTCCTCTTGTTGGACGCTCCAAGTATAGTGATTACTGCTGTGTAGTAGGAAGCCCAGCTGTGGAACTCATAAAGCCACAGCTTCTAGGAGTCTAGCTAGCTGTGTGACTTGGGCAGGTCACATCACCGTAAACACTTCATTACTTGTAAAACAAGGACAACACTAGGACCCTCTTCAGAGTGTGGCTAAGAAGAAACAATAAATGTAGTAAGAAGTAATCCAAACAGTACCTGAGCTGGGTGTGGTGGCTCACACCTTAGTAATCCTGGCACTCAAGAGGATAAGACTGGAAGACTAGCCTGGGCTACCTGTGTCTCAAAGAAAACAAGTAAAATCAGGAACACAAGGAACGCAGTTTATCCTGGCTCAAGGACCTGCTCCAACCCCCCGGTTGCTTTGGGCTGTTGAATCCCTGCAAGAGCAAGGGCCTGGGAATGCTGAGCGGGAGTAGAGTGCTTGCCCGGGTGTAAAGAGGCTCTTTCTTTGCTCATCTCTGGAAAGAAAAGCAAAGTAACTCAGTGTCTGAGCTCCTCCATCAACAGTCTTGAGCTGCCAGGGTGTGGCGTAGCTGGGGTGTGACTGGAAGCTCTGACCGGTATTGATCACATGCGCCCCAAACTTGGGAGGCAGAGGCAGGAGAATCATGAGTTCCCAGCCAGCCTGGGCTACACAGTGAGTTCCAGGCCATCTAGAGCTACATAGTGAGACCTCGTCTCCAAAAACATTAACAACAACAAAAAAAATTAACAACAAAAAATAATAGAGAAATTAACGAAGACAACCAAACATTGACATCAGAAGCCACATGTATGTGAACCCATGTGCCTACACACACACACACATACACACACACACACAGTCCAAGATCTAAGGATAATTCAGTGGTGGACTATTTTTTGTTTGCTTGCTTTTTGCTTTGTTTTGTTGAGACCTGGTGTCTTACTATATAGCCCTTGCTGGCCTAGAACTCACTATGTAGACCAGGATAACCCTAAGCTGGTGATACTCCTCCGTCCTCTGCCTACCACACACTATGATTTAGGTCTCCGTGGGCACCCACTACTCATACATGGCACACACACACACAGAATTTTTTTTAAAAAGACCTCAGTGGGAACAAGGCACTTTGGATTGTGGAGGGTGGCAGGCGTGGCAGGACAGGTCCAAGGGAAGGGTCTGGGAAGAGGATAGGGGACCAGGCTCCAGGCGGAGACCTGTAGGAGGAACTTTACTACCTGCCCATCCCCCAGCTCTCCCTGGATCTCTTCTATACCGAAGATGAGATCTACGAGCTTTCTTATGCCCGGGAACCACGCTGTCCCAAGAGTCTGGTGAGCCTTGACTCCTGACCTCTGACCCCTGCTCCCTCCACCCTGTCACCCTCCCACTCCACTTAAGCCTATGCTTTGACTGTGTTCTTCTAGCCACCCTCCCCCTACAAAGCCCCTCTGGTGGCGGAGTGGGCCCATGGTGTGACCCCAAAGCCAGACAGCGTGACCCTGGGTCAGCATGTGGAACAACTAGTGACGGTGAGGAGGGGCTGCGGGTCCCTGCTGTCCGATGAGCGGTGGGGAGGGGCTGCGGGTCCCTGCTGTCCGATGAGCGGTGGGAGGAAGCCAAGCCCACAGGGCTGGGCCTGGGTGTCTTGTTCTCACTCTCCTCTTCGTGTTCTTCTCAAGTCCGTATTCAAGAACTATGACCCAGAAGGCCAGGGCACTATCTCTCTGGAGGACTTTGAGCGACTGTCAGGCAACTTCCCCTTTGCCTGTCATGGGCTTCACCCACCTCCCCGCCACGGGTAAGAGGCCCTGGCTCCTGGATCTTCCAAAAGCAAGGATCTTGGACATGCCACGGGGGGGGGGGGGGGGGGGGGGGGGGGGGGCAGTCATGCTGAGGTGTGGCCTTTGCCCTGTAGGAGTGGCTCCTTCAGCAGAGAGGAGCTGACGGAATACTTGCTCCGCGCCAGCGCCATCTGCTCCAAGCTGGGCCTGGCCTTCCTGCACAGCTTCCATGAAGTCACCTTCCGCAAGCCCACCTTCTGTCACAGCTGCAGCGGCTTCGTGAGCACTTGGCCCTGTTAGCACCCTTGGGCCCTGTCTCCCCTGGATTAGTGCCTCACAACCTAACTCAAGGCAGTGGGGGTGGGGGTCTGGTGGAAATCTAGGACTGCAGGGTCATCCTCAGCTACATAGTGAGTTTGAGGCCAGCCTGGGCTATATGAGACCCTGTCTTAGAAAACACCAACACAGCTGGGCATGGTGGTGCACAACTTTAGTCCCAGCACTTGAGAGGCAGAGGCAGACTGATTTCTGAGTTTGAGGACAGTCTGGGTTACATACAGATTCCCTGTCTTGGAAAACCAAAACAAATAACGAAAAATGAATGAATGAACGAACAAACACCAGCAGAGCTGGAGATGTGGCTCAGCAGGTGATATCACTTGGCTGCCCTTGCTGAGCGACTGGATTTGGTCCCCGGCACCCATATCGGTCAGCTCACAATTGCCTGTGATTCTAGTTTAAGGGGAGCCAGTACCCTGACTCCACGAAGTCATTCTCTTATGTCAACATGCTCTGTGGCGTGAGTACCCAGGTGGTAACAAAGTCTCAAGTTACGCAATTATTTTTCAAAGAACAACAAAAATAAATAAGTAAAACAAATTTTAAACATCGGTCTCCAGCTGGTGTGGTGCTCACCTTCAATGACAGCATCTAAGTGGCAGAGGCAGGCAGAGCTCTGTGAGTTCGAGGCCAGCCTGGTCTACTACATATGGAGCTCCAGGAGAAACCTGGTCCCCAAAATCACTCTCTGATCCTTTACCCTGGACCACCCAACGCTTTCTTCATTTCCAACTTAAAGACATCTTTTATTTTTGTTTGTTTTCCCTCAAATTTTGGGGTTTTGAGACAGGGTCTTCCCATGTAGGTCAGACTGGCTTCAAATTTATTTTATATGGCAAGGGATTTAACTCAGTGGTAGAGTGCTTGCCTGCCATGCACAAGGTCCTGAGTTCAATCCTCAGAATGCATACTCACACAAAATTAAATGGATTATGTAGCCCAGTCTTGCCTCAGCCTCATGGGATTATAGGTATGGTCACCACACCTGGCTTCAAATTCTTGATAGTGAACAAATCTTAATCATTAAACTGAGACGACACTACAGATCTTGCCATTTGTGTACTGCCAGGTCTACACTTGACACAGCTCGTGAGCCAGGCAGTGCTGGTCTGGAGACGTGAATGAAACACAGCCCCTATCTACAGGATATACATTTTCGTTAACTCAGCAGTTTGCCCATTTGTAATACCGTACTTGATTCCCTAAGTTCGAGATAATCTCCAAGTTCCTATAATTTTGGTTAATTCTCAGAATCTTAAGAAATTTCAAAACCTACTGGCTTCCATCCTCTTTCTACCATGTGCCCTCCTCTAGTCTGACTGACCAATTCTTTTTTTTCCTCAGCTCTGGGGTGTCACCAAGCAAGGTTATCGCTGTCGGGGTAAGTGTGTGTGTGTATGGGGGGGGCTCTCGACTTGCAGGCTGGAAGAATGGGGTGACCAGCAGCTCCTTTCCCCCCAGACTGTGGGCTGTGTTGTCACCGACACTGCAAGGACCAAGTGAGAGTGGAGTGCAAGAAGAGGCCAGAGACGAAGGGCGAGCCTGGTCCCCCAGGGGCGCCTGTGCCAGCCGCACCTCCTCCTGCCAGCTGTGGTAAGACCCAGAACACGGTGCCTGCCTGGGAGGAAGGCCCAGAGGATGGAGTCACATCTCTGCCACCCCTCACATCCCAAACAGGCTCTGAGGAAAATCTCTCCTACACACTATCCCTGGATGCTGAGTCTGGTTGCCACCTCCGCCACGCTTGGACCCAGACGGAGTCCTCACACTCTTCCCAGGAGGCGGAGACGGTAAGAAGGCCCGAGCTGCATCCAGGAGAGGAAGGCTATTGGTCTGGGATGAACCAGACAGATCTGGGACTCACAGAGAGGCAAAACCATATAAAAATCCCCTGTCACCTGGATGGGAGGTTAGAGACACTAAGGAAAAAAAAGGAAAGAAATTTTTTTTTTGAGATGGTATCTCACTATGTGTCCTAGTCGACTTCTGCTGCTGTGCTACAACACTGGCCAAAATCAACTTGGGGAAGATGGGGTTTATTTGACTTGCACTTCCAGGTCACAGTCCATTTCTTGGAGGAAGTCAGGCAGGTACTGAAGCAGAGAACATGGAGGAGGAATGCTGCTCTCCACGGCTTCCTCACCTTCCTTTCTTACACAACCCAGGACCACCCACCCGGGTGGGCCTTGCCCCTCCCCTTCCCCATCCATCGTTACTCAAGAAAAGGCCTTACAGACACGTCGACAGGTCAGTCTGAAGGAAGCGATCCCTTAATTGATGTTCCCTCTGCCCGGGCGACTCTAGTTTGTGTGAAGATGGCAAAACCTAACTAGTTCACTTTGTAACCCAGGCTGGCCTCAAACTCACAATCATCTTGTGTTTATGTTCCAGAGTGTCGTAGGTATGAGCCGCCATGCCCAGTGGACACTGACTAGTTTTCAATGTTGGCAGAGAAATATTAGCGGTCATAATATACTCCGGTGACAAAACTGGGTAGTTAGTAGCACAAAAACAAAGACCTAGGGAGGAAAAGCAAAAGCTAGGCATGGTTGCGCAAACCTATACTCCTATTGCTGAAGAGGCTGAGAGAGGAGAACAGCCACAACTTCAGGGCTACATGGTGAGGATCCAGGTCAGACTGTCATAGTGAGAGACCATGTTTCAAAGAAACAAAAGAAGGTCAAGTGAGAACAAGGCCAAGAGCACTTGCCTACCCAGGAGTCCTTGACCTGATCTGTAGGGTCAGGATTGGCAGCATCCACGTGGAACATGATGTCTCCCCCACCTCCCCACACAGCAACAACAAAAATAAGACCAAATATGTCAGAAGCTACAACAAATATTATTGGAACAATTTCCACTCCTGAAAGGCAAAGATTTCATCTGGGAGTATTGGTCATTTAGCCACAATCTGAGTGAGACCCAGGTCCTGGTTGTGAAATGTCCCCTACAAAAATGAAGGGCCCCTCATTGTGCATTCTTCTCCCTCCAGAGGCCCTTTCCAGCACCGGTTTCACCGCCCAAAGCTTCCTCGAAGCCCAGTGCCTGAACAGCATCTGGAGTCTTTTCCCCTAGAAAAGGTTCTTCTGCACTGCACTGACGGCCAGCCGTATTCCCTCCTGCCTCACTTAGCACCTGCAGCTCTGTGTTGGATGGATTTGGACTCTTGTCACATCATCTCCCCAGCTCCCCACTTCCCAGATAAGGAGACTAAAGCTTCAAGCTCCAAGTGAAGCTGTGAACCAGTGGACCATACTGACTGCTGGCACAGGTCTGGAGGTTGTGAGAACGGGGGGACAGAGTCCTAACCAATGTCAGGACAGAGGCCAGTGTGGGCAGTGTGTGTGAAATGTCTCCCCTGCTCGGAGCCTCCTGCAGCTTGTTCAAGGTGAAACCTAGTCTTAGGTTTACAAAGCTCAGAAAGATCTGTCCCCAGCACCTGTCTTCCCTGTCCACATCTCCCCTCCTTGCTCATCCTCTCCCACCTACGATGGCTTCCATGTTCCTAGGACATGCCCCAAAGTACTTACCTCGGGCTTTGCACTAGCCATCCCCTTTTCTGGAATGCTCGTTGTCAGAGGTCTGCATGGCTCACCTGCTCCAGAGCTTTACTCAGGTGACCACAGCGATGTCACACACATGCAGTCTGACCCTCCCCTGCTGCTTTCTCTGTCTCCATGGTGCTTTGGTCCTCTAATGAACTAGACATTTCACCTGTTGGCCTTGTTGAACGTCTGTTCTTCCTTCCGGAAAGAGCTCCCAAAAGGCAGAGATGTTTACCCCATATTATCCCGCTGTGTCCCAGATGCCTAGACCAGTAAAGTGTGTGTCCAATGTTTCAATGTGTCTTTCCCCACACCCACATGAGAAGCAAAAAGCTTATCCCGACCTGGGGGCAGAAACTCCCCCTTGCCCCTCCACAAACACACACACATTGAGCTGGTCCCTATACAGAAACAGATTCTATAACCATCAAAAGAATTAAATTTATTTTTCAGACAACATGGTTCATAGTGTTAAGGGATGGGTGGGTGTAGGAAGCTCAGGGACTCTCTACAACAGGGAATGCCTGGCTTAGGCACCAAGGAAAACCCTCCCAGTGACTCTCAAAGGTTACTGGCAGCATCAGAACCCGACAGAGCCTCTGACCGACTCTCCAAAACCCTTTACTTCTTCTTCTTTCTGCGACCCCAGCGCTGCTGGCCAGCCTTTCCCCTTCCTCCATCTTCCCTTCGGCTTCTCCAGGTAGGCATGGGTGCCTCCAGCTCATCTGGGCGCCCCCCACGGTCTGGCACATCACCCATAAGCACCTGAAAGTTGATTAGACTTGAGTTTCAATAGGTTAAAAAAAAAAAAGCAGGGGTGTGCTCATGCACCCCATCATCCCAGCATTTGGGAAGTGGAGGAAGACTGGGAGTTCGAGGCTGACCTCTTTGCTACATAATGAGTTGGCTACATGGCTAGCCTGGGCTACATGAGACTATCTCAAAAAAATTAGAAAATTTCCTTCTGCTACGGAGAGTGGTTAGTTTGTGCCCAGTTAACTCCAGAGGCCAGGAACCAGGGGAAACCCCAGAAGACCAATCTGAAGGCCAAGGATGTTCAGATTCTCCCCTGCCCGAGATGGGCCCACCTTGTTGATGGCACAGCTGGTCCCTCGGCGAGAAGCCACACTGGTAGCTGGGACCAGACGGGAAAGGTCAGCTCGGGCAGCCAGAACATGTGCGACAGAGACATTAGATTCTGGTGTCAGAAGTCCTCGGATTGGAAACAGCACTGCCTTCATGGCTTCTCCTTGGGCCTGGAGTGGGGGAAAGGTCATCCGTGGAGAAGGAACCCAAGAGCTCGTCCCCACCCAAGACCTCTGTATGCGTCAGAGGGGATCATTCGCCAAGGAGCATGTGCTGTGACAGACAGCTGGGCATGGTGGCACAAGAACTATCTTCTCAGCACTAGGGGAGCAGAGGCTAAGTGGTCAGAAGTTCAAGGTCATCCTCAGCCACAGCAAGTTAAGAGGCAAAAACAAAATCTTAAAAGTGGCTGACCTGTGAGAGAGCGACCTTTGGTGACATATCAAGGTCACAGGGACTGACCTTGGAGGAGACGCAAGTCCCACAACCTGCCCAAGCTTCCATGTGTTTCAGCGTCCAAAACCATAAGCCAAAATGAATCTAATTTTCCTACCCAGTTCCGGGTACCTTGTATTGACAACAATTAAGATAGTCTTAACTACATTTTATTACACTGGGGAATAGTTCTGAAGACACTCCCAGCTGAGAACATTATAGAATGCCCTTGAGGCCCTGAGAGTCAAGAAATCTTGAACTCTAAGATTCTAAAGAGTGGGCTGGAGAGACGGCTGGGCAGTTAAGAGAACGGACTATTCTTGCAGGGGACCAGGGTTCAGTTCCCAGCACCCACAGAGCAGCTCACAGCCCTCTATAACTCCAGTTCCCGGGGATCCGATGCCCTTTCCCTTACCCTGCAAGCACCAGCCATGCACACACACACACACACACACACACACACACATATAAAAACATACACATAAAGGAAAAATGAATAAATCCTTTAGAAAAGATCCCTAAATGTGCGCTGGAGAGATGGCTCAGCAGTTGAGAGAACTGACTGCTCTTTGGAAGACCTGGCTTCAGTTCCCAGTACCAACATGGAAGCTCACAACCATCTCCATCCTCTGCTTCCAAGGGATCTGACACCCCCTGCTGGCCTCTGTGAATATTGCACACACATGATGCACATACACATGTAAGCAAAACACATCAAATAAAAACAATCTCACAAGGCTCTAAGGTGGTCTCTCTCCCTTGCCCCTCCACCCTGCTGTTGTGCTTCCCAATGCCCTGCTTATTCTGGCTAAGGTCCCCACACCTCTGCCCGGTCACCCCAGTGGAAGGCAGATGTCGTAAGATCCAGACGCTTCAGAAGGAGGCAGCGACGGCAGCAGTATTGCTCTGTCAGGCTTTGGGACAAGGTCTCCAGGGCTTCCTAGGAGAAAAGGTCTTGGTCACAGCACGGGTGGCATCTCTGGGTGAGGATACTGTTCACAGGCATCTATACATGCTCTTACCCATCGTGATGCATCCAGCGGGGAGCTGAGGAGGGGCTGCATGGACTCTGGCGGCAGGCGAGGCAGCAGCTCAGAGATCTGGTGGAAGGAATCAGGAGCCAATGAGACACAAACAAAATGGACCTTCTTAAGTACTCCAGTTCCCCAGGGCCTCACCTCAGAGGCAACAACATGTTAATGGCTTTTGTCAATGTGACACAAATCTAGAGAGACCTGAGAAAAGGGGATCTCAACTTGAGGAAGTGCTCCCTCAGACTGGTCTGCAGGCATGCCTGTTGACTGCTATTTAATGTAAGAGTGCCTTGCCTGCTATGGGCAGTGCCATACCTGGGCACACGGCCATGGGCTACACCCAAAGAAACAAAACAAAAGGTAGCTGAACAAATCAGAAATGAATTAGTAAACAGTATTCCCCCATGGTCTCGACTTCAGTTCCTGCCTGGAGTTCCCTCTACGAGGGGCTGGAATTTCCTCCTCACACTGGTTTTGGGCAGTGTTACATCACAGCAAAAAAGCAAGTTAGAACAAATGGCGACCAAAGTTCTAAAACCATCCCTGTCATTGGGTCATTCTAGAGATGGCTTTGAAGACAGGAGTCTCCCGACAACTAAGGTAGCTCAAGAGGTGACTGTCTCTCTACCTTCTCGTGAAACTCCCGAAGTAGCTGGCTGGCCAGGGTTCCACGAACTGGTCTTGGGAGCCCCAGTGCTTGAAGAGTTAGCATCAGCTCTTGAACCACGCCATTTCCCTCCTTTGTCCCTTCTCCAAAGGACTGTACAGGCCTAGCATGTAGCTGGGGCCGCAGATGCAAGAGGCGGGCAGCATGGAGCTCGGAGCAAAGAAACCCTAAAAAATAGGAACAGATCCCCCAGAGTAAGCCCACCCACTTCAAGGCTGCAGCTCCTCCTCCAGCCCACTTCAGAACCACCCGACGGACCGGGTCCGTCTATCTCAACTCAGTAAAGCTTTCAGAGGCCTTCCTCAGGATTCCAGTCCAGTCCTAAACCACCTACCGGTGGCCTTCAGGAGACCCTCAAAGGTTTGGCCACGCCCCCGGGCCCAGTCTCAGATCTGAACCCGCCCACTTCCGAGGCCCCGCCCACTCCCGCCTCCCGGGGCCTTCCAGGCTCACGCAGCAGGCGCAGGCCGCCGCCGGGCTCCCGCAGCACTGTGGCGCAGTCTCCGCCGCAGAGCGCGCGATCCGGGCAGTGCAACGCCCGCAGCAGGCCGGTCAACTGCCGCAGGAATTCTTCTTCTGCGTCCGGGCCTGCGGGAGGAGGAAGCCATCAAGGGAGCGGCAGGTCCCGCGGCTCCACCCGCCGTCCACCCAGATCCTCACGCACCGTGGCCAGCGCCCAGTACTGCGGTGCCCTCCTCTCGCCGCTCCAGAGCTCCCAGAGCCGTCAGCTCGGCCGCCAGCCGCGCGCACAGCGCCCTGAAGTCCGCACACGCGGGGCCCCGGGACGCCGCCTCCGGGAGGGCACCGTACCTGCGGCGGGGCGCGCGTCAGTGCGACTCCCTTTGCGTCCGCGTCCCGGGGCGAGTGTGCCCTTCCCGTACCCCCAGCCACACCGCCGAATCCCTTACCCCAAAGTCAGTAGGTCGCCGGCTACTGTGGCCCCATCCATGGTAGCTTCGGCTGGGGACCCCGGGCGCGCACCCCTTTCCGCCTGAGACAGGCTCCACCCCGAGGGCGCCTCCTCCCGCCCCACCCGGCCTCTATCCAATCACATTCTCGTGCGAAGGAGTTTAGGCGCTCCGATTGGCTCAGTAGCCCGCCAAGTGCGCCCCTCAGGTAACTTGTCCCGGGTTGTAAATTTTACAGCTTGAGATTAGGATCCCCCAAGGTCGGGGAGGCTCGTGTGTCCCTGCTCTCGGGGACATAAAAAAAAAACGGCAACCTGTTTTTCTTTCCCACTCTCTGCTTTTTAAAATTTAGTTTGTTTTTGAGGCAGGGTCTCGATATGTATGTATTTCAGCCTGGCCTCTTGGTCCGGCTTCCTCCTTCCTTGTGTTGGTTGACAGGCGTGTGCCACGCCCGACTGCCCTTTGCTCTTAGACCCCAGACCGAAAAGCTCATCCAGCTTCTTCCATCCCAGGGTTAGAACGATGTCAGCGCATCTTCACACCTCCCTCCCACTACAGCGAGGCTCTCCTTTCAGATCACACCACTGTGCTATCCGACCTCTGCCTCCCTGGGCCTTTGAAAGGAGAAACCAGCGCCGCCCAGAAACTTCATCATCTTAGAGAGGCAGGCAGGCCTTTCACCATTAACCAACACATGTTCCTGTCAAATTGGTTTTCCATTTGAAACCGAGTAACTTATATTCTTTTTTATTTTATGTGCACGATTGTTTGTACGTGCACGTGTATATGTGAACCTCATGTGTGTCCTGTGCCCATCAAGTAAGGTTCTCTGAAATTGGAGTTATGGATGTTATGGAGTTATGGATGGCAGTGAACCCTCATGTGGGTGTTGCGAAAGAAACCCAAGTCTTGGGGGCTGGAGAGATGGCTCAGCGGTTAAGAGCATTGCCTGCTCTTTCAAAGGTCCTGAGTTCAATTCCTGGCAACCACATGGTGGCTCACAACCATCTGTAAAAGGTCTGGTGCCCTCTTCTGGCCTGGAG